GGTTTCCATTTCCCACCCTTCTCAGCTCCACCTTTATCTCATTTAATAGTGCTATATAATTGGCTTTATATAAGTTCGTAGTTGAGGCTGATAATTTTATTCCTAGATATTTTAAATCTTTATCTCTCCAAAGGAAAGGGAATTCCTCTTTTAGTTTTTCCTTTTCTTCATTTTAAAGGTTGATATTTAAAATTTCAGTCTTTGTCGGGTTTATTTTCAGATTCGACAGTTCTCCATACTCACTGAATGCTTTCATTAAATTTGGAAGTGATGTTCTGGGATTTCCTACATAGAACATCAAATCGTCCGCGCATACGCCGCTACCTTATTTTCTCTATCTCCTATCTTTATTCCTTTTATATCTATATTCTTCCTAATCCTAGACAGCAAGGGCTCCAGTGATAATACATATAACAGTGGGGACAATGGACATCCCTGTCTTGTACCATTTGACATCTTAAAATACTCTGATCTTCCTCCATTTACCATTATGGTGGCGGTAGGCCCTCTATCTAACTCTCCAATCCACCCTCTTATTCTATCTCCCATTCCTAATGCTTCCAGGGTGTCCATCATAAAACCCCAACTTACTCTGTCGAATGCCTTCTCGGCATCTATCGACATCAATATCATTGGGGTTTTCCCTTTCTTGCCCTCTTGTGTAAGCAGCAGTGATCTCAGAGCGTTGTCTCTACCCTCTCTTCCTGGAACAAACCCCACTTGATCTCTATGTATCCACTCCGGCATCAGTTCTTTTAATCTATTTGCCAACACCTTTGCAAATATTTTTTAGTGTCTACATTCAATAGCGCTATTGGTCGATAACTCGCACATTGCGAGGGATCTTTATCTTCCTTCTGAATCAGTACTATATTAGCCTGTAACGATTCTCCCCTCATCTCCATCCCATTCCCCAAGGCGTTCATATAAGTCTTCATCTTGGGTATTAAAAGCTCTATATATTTTTTATAGTATTTAACTGTGTATCCGTCTGGACCCGGACTTTTCCCTCCCGCCATGCTTTTTAACGCTATTTTTATTTCCTCTGAAGTTTATTTCTTCCTCTAAAGAGTTCAGTTGTATTTCTCTTAATTTCGGGTAGACCTGCTTCCTCTAGGTATATCTTTCTTTTCCCCCATATTTACTATTTCCATTTTCTTAAACTTATCCTGGGGTATAAATTATATTATACAACTCATTGTAATACTCTTTAAATATTCTGGCAATATCCTTAGTTGAGTGTTAGAAATTCACCCTTGGGGTTTCTTATTTTCTCAATATTTTTTCTATTTTTCTTCTTTCTTAAAGTTCTCATTAAATACTTTCCCGGCCTATCTCCCCATCTATACCTTTCACATGTTATTTTATTAAAGACTCTTCTTTTTTCTTCCTCCATTACATTCTCTAGTTCTTCTTTCTTCTTTATTAACCCCTGCATTATCTCCTTAGATCTTTCCCTTTTATGCACCTGTTCAAGATCATTTATTTCATTTAATAATCTATTTATCTTTTCTTTCCTTTCTTTATTCTTTTTTGCCCCCATTGCAATGAGCAGACCTCTGATGTAAGCTTTATGAGCTTCCCACACCGTTGCTACCGATACATCCTCTGTCTCGTTCTCTTCAAAAAACCACTCAATTTCCCTCTCAATTCTTCGACTAATCTCTTCATCCATGAGGAGTGCCTCATTCATCCGCCACACATATCCCTCTCTCTCTTTCTCTACCCCATCTTAAACCTCATTTCTACCGGGGCATGATCCGATAGGGTGCTTACTCCTTTTTTTTTCTTCCCCCACCCATTCTATCATTTGGTGTTCTACTAATATGTAATCTAGTCTAGAATAAGTCTCATGTACTTGCGAAAAGAAAGTATAATCTCTCTCTTTCATATTCCTAATTCTCCAGATGTCCACCAGTTGACACTCATGCATCCTTTTTTTTTAACCTTCTCAAGGACTTGCTTTCCTCTCCTCTCTCACACACAGGAAGTGGTATCCATCTTCAGGTCTATACAGAGGTTTAAAATCACCCGCCACTAACATACACCTTTTTTTTTAAAGTCCATCAATCTCTTCAACACTTCTCTCACAAATGTCACTGGCTTCTTATTTGGACTATATATATTTGCTATTGTGCACTCAATTCCCTGTAATTTTACCTCTCAAAAATAGGAACCTTTCCCTCCGGGTCCGTCAATCTCTCCTCAACCCACAAACCTTATATTTTTAGCAAAGCCTATAGCAACTCCTTTTGCTCTTTTAATTGGTGATTCCGCATAAAACCATGTCGGAAAGTATCTGGTTCTCAGTCTAACCTTCGACTCTATCTCTAAGTGTGTTTCTTGCAAGAATATCACTGAGGATTTTCTATGTTGTAGTTTTTTTAAATAACCTAAATCTCTTTCCTGGACAATTTAGCCCTTTTACATTATAGGTTTATATATTGGATTTCTTCCATTTTTTTTTCTTTTCCTCCTGACTCCTTTTTCCTCCTTACTTTCCTCTTTCTTATACCTGTAGAGCGTATTTATCCCGCTAACCTTTTTCTCTCCCCTTATCCCTCCCCCCCCCTCTTCCCACAATCCCTCCCCTCTCCCCTCCCCTCCATCCCCTCCCCCCAACCCACCACCATCCCTCCCCCCCCGCCCCCCTCTTTTTAGGCCTTCACTTTTGCCTATTCATCATTTGTGGAACTAACATCCACCTTTGATTTGGTCCTTAGGGCTACACTCCTCCCATGGCTAGCCTCCCCTCCATCCAGATCTCCCTATTTTTTTTTTTCTACTTGTACTTCTTAACATCTTGTTTGGGAAGAATTAGAGCAAAGCTAGAGGACTGAAGGATGAAACAGGAGGTTTTTAGGGACACGGAGGGGCAGAGAGAAAAAAAAAAAAAAAAAAAAAAAAAACCATCTCTCCCCTCCACCCCCTTCTTTATGGAGCTTCTATACTGTTTTCGCAAGTACGTCTCTTAGAGGCTGATCCCTCTTTGCAGATCCCTCTCCTAGGTCGATCACTGTGTAAAGAGGTAAATCGCATCTTAGAGTTCGGAAACAAAGAGTTGGGAACTCTGCACTGCTGTCCCGTCTGCGTGCCCAGTCTCGACTGTAAAAGTGGGAAGAAGGTTATACCCCCTTTTACGGAGGATAGACAGCAGGACCTTTTTGCCCTGAATATCAGCTTTACATCCAATCAGCCCTTTTATCTTTTGATGCATAGAAAAGTAGACAGACAAATATATAGATTGATAGATAGATAGATACCAACCGGGCATCCGCTTTTACCACAGAGTAAACTCAGACCAAATAATGTTCCAGAAAAGTAATCCACTCTGGCCAGAGCACAACACATGTAAAAAAAGGACAGTAATACTGACAAGAACATTAGACGCCCCACGCTCAACATGTTTCTGGCTGACATATTCACAATCAAGTGATTAATTGCTTAATTCACAAATCAAAGTAAAAAACTTAAAACCACGACAAACACAAACTTCTTAATACTCTAAACAGTAATAATCAACGGGTTGTTCCTGCAATGCCCCTTCTCTGCACTGTAAAATATTGTCTTTGCAATAAACTCCTCGTGTCTTATCTTTCTATAGTCTGTGTTACACTGTACATTATATGGGGGGCTTTTTTGACCCATTCTCTGGGGGGGGGTGTATTTTTTTACTCACTGACCTTTTAGGGGTGTATAGTCTTTATTGTAAAAAAAAGCTAGTGTTTCACTGAATATTACACTTCTAAAAAGCTCAGCATATTCTGATTCTTTCACATGTGGGGGGCTTTGTGACTTCTTTTTTTTTTGGGCACAATTTAAATTGGTACGTGGGGGGGTTTTTGGGGGGGGGGGGTGGTGGGGTGGGGGGGGGGGGGGGGGGGGGGGGGGGGGGGGGGGGGGGGGGGGGGGGTGGGTGTGGGGGGGGTTGGGGTGTTTTTGTTGTAGGGGGGTTTTTATCTTTATGTATTGGGGGGGGGGGAATATTTTTTGTTTATTTTTTTTTTTTTATATTTTTTTTTGGGGTGGATTTTTTTCCCATTTTTTTATATACAACTCCAACTTGTCCTCATATGTATAATACAATCTTTCTGTCCCGGATAGCTGATTTTACTCTACTTATCCAATCCTCCTAAGTTGGCACCTCTCTTTTCTTCCAGAACCTGGGATCAGACTCTTTGCTGCGGTCAAGTATTGCCATATCCCGAGACTCTTTGTATACTTTCGTAGAGAGCTTCGAGATATGGAGGTGACATAGTTCTGGATCCAATCCTATATTGATTTTAGTCATTTTCCCTATTACATAAACTATACATCTCCGTATTCATCTTTGTGCTCTACATTAGGGGTAATGTGCCATCTATTCAAACACTTATAATTTACTTCTACTTCCCTCATACTAATATTTTCATGAATTAATGTGAACATTTTTCCTCTTCTCCTCCTCCTCTATTTTCCTTCCTATATCTCTTTCCCATTTCTCTATGTGCATTAATTTTGTGTCAATGTCAATCTCCAATAATATCTTGTGTATTTTTGCCATTCCGTGTCTACCATTTCCCCGTGTCTCAAATAATCTCTCAAATGGGTTTCAATCCTTTCTAGTTCTTATGGGCTTAGGGAGACTCTCAAAAAAATACTTCAGTTGGTAATATCTTAATTAGAGATGAGCGAAGTATTCAAAAATTCGATTCGGCTGATTCGGCGATTCGATGCGAATATATTCGCTGCAAATTTAACTTATAAAAGGGTGTTTCTAGGCTTCAGAGAGCCTTTATATTAGTGCAGAACACTGTACCTTTAATTTAAATGCCCTTGGAGTCTGCTGGGGAAGAGAAATAATACTGTCAGTCAGTATGACATGCAGATGAGTGCCGTCGATCTTAGAAATCACCGCACACTTCACTCATTTGGGCAGTCACGGGGCCAAAACCAGAGTGTGGAGCCACAGTGTGGCGGTGGAGGCAGCAGCAATGGGAGGCCATACAGCACCCTATGACAAAAATGGAACCCACCAGCAGTTGTGTGAGGAGACCTGAAAGTGGCACATGGCAGAGTGTGGCGATGGAGACAGCAGCAATGGGAGGCCGTACAGGGACCCATGAGACACTCTGGACCTGGCAGCAGCATTAGGAGGCGGTAGGTTTTAGGGGCCCATGGCAGATTACGGGCCTGGCAGCAGCAATGGGAGGCCCGTAATCTGCCAGCACCCTATGACAAAATGGAACCCACCAGCAGTGTGAGGAGACCTGAAAGTGGCACATGGCAGAGTGTGGCGATGGAGACAGCAGCAATGGGAGGCCGTACAGGGACCCATGAGAGACTCTGGACCTGGCAAAGCAGCATGAGGAGGCGGTACTGGGGCCCATGGGAGATTACGGGCCTGGCAGCAGCAATGGGAGGCCCGTAATCTGCCAGCACCCTATGACAAAATGGACAGCACCAGCAGTGTGAGGAGACCTGAAAGTGGCACATGGCAGAGTGTGACGATGGAGACAGCAGCAATGGGAGGCCGTACAGGGACCCATGAGACACTCTGGACCTGGCAGCAGCATGAGGAGGCGGTACAGGGGTATTAAGGGGCCCATGGCAGATTACGGGCCTGGGCAGCAGCAATGGGAGGCCCGTAATCTGCCAGCACCCTATGACAAAATGGAACCCACCAGCAGTGTGTGAGGAGACCTGAAAGTGGCACATGGCAGAGTGTGTGGCGATGGAGACAGCAGCAATGGGAGGCCGTACAGGGACCCATGAGAGACTCTGGACCTGGCAGCAGCATGAGGAGGCGGTACATAGGGGCCCATGGCAGATTACGGGACCCCTGGCCTGGCAGCAGCAATGGGAGGCCCGTAATCTGCCAGCACCCTATGACAAAATGGAACAGCACCAGCAGTGTGAGGAGACCTGAAAGTGGCACATGGCAGAGAGTGTGGCGATGGAGACAGCAGCAATGGGAGGCCGTACAGGGACCCATGAGACACTCTGGACCTGGCAGCAGCATGAGGAGGCGGTACTGGGGCCCATGGCAGATTACGGGCCTGGCAGCAGCAATGAGAGGCCCGTAATCTGCCAGCACCCTATGACAAAATGGACAGCACCAGCAGTGTGAGGAGACCTGAAAGTGGCACATGGCAGAGTGTGGCGATGGAGACAGCAGCAATGGGAGGCCGTACAGGGACCCATGAGACACTCTGGACCTGGCAGCAGCAGCATGAGGAGGCGGTACGGTACATGAGGGGGCCCATGGCAGATTACGGGCCTGGCAGCAGCAATGGGAGGCCCGTAATCTGCCAGCACCCTATGACAAAATGGAACCACACCAGCAGTGTGAGGAGACCTGAAAGTGGCACATGGCAGAGTGTGGCGATGGAGACAGCAGCAATGGGAGGCCGTACAGGGACCCATGAGAGACTCTGGACCTGGCAGCAGCATGAGGAGGCGGGGTACTGGGGCCCATGGCAGATTACGGGCCTGGCAGCAGCAATGGGAGGCCCGTAATCTGCCAGCACCCTATGACAAAATGGAACAGCACCAGCAGTGTGAGGAGACCTGAAAGTGGCACATGGCAGAGTGTGGCGATGGAGACAGCAGCAATGGGAGGCCGTACAGGGACCCATGAGAGACTCTGGACCTGGGCAGCAGCATGAGGAGGCGGGGTACTGGGGCTCATGGCAGATTACGGGCCTGGCAGCAGCAATGGGAGGCCCGTAATCTGCCAGCACCCTATGACAAAATGGAACACACCAGCAGTGTGAGGAGACCTGAAAGTGGCACATGTTTGGGGCATGATTCATGGCGGATTTAGTCAGTTGTGTCAGGGAACTGGTGGTTTGAAATCCAGACTAATCCACGCCTGATTCATTTTCACAAATGTGAGTCTCTCCACACTTTGGGTGGACAGTCGTGTCCTCCGCGGAGTTACAATACCTCCTGCCGCACTAAACACGCGCTCCGATGCCACGCTACTGGCCGGGCATGACAGCCTTTCAAGGGCAAATTCAGCTAGTTGGGGCCAAAGGTCAAGTTTCGTTGCCCAGTAGTCAAGGGGATTGTCTACCTCGGTTGGCAGGGTGCTGTCCAAGTAGGCCCAAGCCTGTTGTTTGAGGTCCTGCTCCAGGTCCACCTGATGCTGCTGCTGCTGCTGCGGCTGGTTAGTAGTTTTCTCACTGCGCTGGTGAAGAAAGCTACTCATCATCGACTGCAGACTGAGGCAGCCGCTGCTGGTGGAGCTGCCACTGCTCCTACCACCACCACCCCTCCCCTGCTGCCATGGCAGCGGAACGCGAGCACACAGGGCCCACAGTGTCTGAGGATGGACGTTGGCGCAGAAAGGCAGAGACCAACTGACTACATAGGTGGTTTTTATAGTACGTTATTTTGGCCTCCCTCTCAGCAGGTGTGAAAAAGGCCACCATTTTTGAACGGTAGCGAGGGTCCAACAAGGTGGACAGCCAAAAGTCATCCCTCTGTCTGATGGTTATTATTCGGCTGTCGCTACGCAAGCAACCGAGCATGCTATGGGCCATTTGTGCCAAGGAATGCGAGGGACTCCCTGCCTCCATCTCCTCCACAGCATACTGCCACGGTGCGTCTGGGTCCTCTGTCTCCTCCTCCTCCTCTACCAGATGCTCCTGCTCCTCCACTCCTGTCCGCTGAGTGGAAAAACCACCCATTTCACTCAATAATTCCTGAGCACCAATGTCTCCTCCTCTACCTCCTCTCTCTCTTCTCTTCCTGTCCTGCCCCCACAGGGGTCATGTGGCGTTGAGATCTGTGCGCCACGTCTACCGCACCCTGACCAGCCATTGTTAACAGCATTTGTTCCAGGACGTGCAACAGAGGAATGACGTCATTCATCCCATAGTCCTGCCGACTCACGAATAGCGTGGCCTCCTCAAAGGGCCTGAGCAAGCGGCAGGTGTCACGCATGAGCTGCCAATGGCTGACATCGAAGTTACACAGGGGAGTACCTTTATCCGCGCTTGTAACATCAGGAAATCGGTGATGGCCTTTCGCTGTTCGTAAAGGCGGTCTAACATGTGTAGGGTTGAATTCCACCTTGTTGCAACGTCGCAGATCAGGCGATGCTGTGGAATTCCGTTCTGCCGCTGCAGCTCAAGGAGGGTGTGCTTTGCGGTGTAGGAATGGCTGAAATGCATGCAAAGTTTACGTGACATTTTAAGGATGTCTTGCAGTGGGATGGTGGATTTTAGGAACCGCTTGACAACCAGATTGAACACGTGAGCCATGCATGGCGCATGGCACAACCTTCCTTGACGCAGAGCAGACACCATGTTCTTTCCGTTGTCGGTCAACATGGTTCCGATTTTCAGTTTGCGCGGAGACAGCCATCTGTCGATTTCTCTGTTCATTACACTCAGAAGTTCCTCCCCTGTGTGACTACGTTCGCCAAGGCATACCAGGTGCAGCACAGCGTGACACCGTTGCGCCCTGCACATGTGATATGCCGGTCAGGTAATGGGACTTGGACTTGGCACAGGGGGTGTCGTGGCGGCTGAGGACACGGCGGAAGAAGAAGAGGGTAGAGGCGGACATCTTTGCCGGACCAAGGACGTGCAAACGTGGAGGCAAAAGCGGCGTGACCTGTCCAAGTTGCTGGTGCGGCTGTGCCGGCACCACGTTCACCCAGTGGGCCGTAAATGACATGTACTGTCCCTGACCGTAGTTACAGCTCACACACGTCGGCGCTGCCGTGCACTTTGGCAGAGACCGACATGCTCAAAGACTGGACTGGCCCACCATCTCTTCTACATGTGAATGCAGGGCTGGCACTGCCTTTTTGGCGAAGAAATGCCGGCTTGGCACTCTCCACCGCGGCGCGGCACAAGCCATCATTTCTCGGAAAGGTGCTGAGTCCACCACTTGGAAAGGGATGGACTGCAGCACCAGCAACTTGGACAGGAGGACGTTCAGCTTTTGCACCGTCGGGTGCGTGCTCGCAAACTGTGTTGTCTCTTGGAAACGGATTCCAAGAAAGACTGCTGACGGAATCCGTGAAGAGGAGTAGCAGGAGAAGGAGCATCTGAACGAGCGGAAGATGCCAACGAGCGACAATTCCCCTCAGCAGAGGTGTTGGAGCCTTGACTGGCTGATAGAGGGCGATTGACGTCGGGTGACGGAGCAAGTAACGGAGCGGGGTGATGATGGAGCGGGGGCTGAGGCAGGCAGAACCGCCGTATCTTTATCACGGTTTTCCCAGGCCACCAAATGGCGACGCTGCATATGCTGACGCAACGCTGTAGTCCCAACATGGGCCCCCTGGCCACGCTTGACTTTCTGGCCACATAGTCGACATACGGCTACGTTTACTTCCTCGGGCGGCTTGACGAAAAATTGCCCACACCGCCGAGTAGGAAACTTTGCCCCCGCTACTCCTCACTGGCTGACTGCTACTTCCTCCGTGCACACCGGCACCACTACTGGCCGTGGTGGTAGGCTGCAGTGGAGCTGGTGCTCTACTCCGTGGCCGTTTGCCTCCACTGACACTGCTGCGACCCTGCTGCCTCCTGGGCAACCCACCGACTGTTTTTTGCTCGCTGCCAAGCTGGCACCCTCTTCTCCTGATGATGCGGAAGCAATAGCCTGATGACGACGAGGCTGCCAAGTGCGATCAGCCTCATCATCATCAATTAGGGTCTCCGCCTCACTACTAGCCCCCTCGGCTGCGTGTGGGTCAGGAGACAGACCTGTCTCTAGACCGGCTACCGAGCCACCTCCTCGCCAGTACTTCTTCGCCTGGCTGCTGAAGAGGCGGATGTCTCCCCCCGTTCCTGACCGCCCTCTGTTAGCTCTTCCTCACTGTACAGTGGGGCTGAGCCCACAGCATGCGATACTTCGCTTGGTGAGGGAACACCAAAGGACAGGGGCAGGTAGAGGACACGTGATTTCAGTGGGCTTGCTCCCGGGCCATGCCAACTAACGGTTGTGTCTGACGTACCCACCGACCGTTGGCTGTAGGTGTCAGAGGTGACCTGGGAAGAGGAAGACGACCGAGCCAACCAATCGATGACGGCAGGGTTGTCGGTGGAGACACGACCGCTGGATGACACCGGGAGCACTGGCCTCTGGCTGCGACTAGTGCTGCCTCGACCCCTTCCTCTGCTGCCACGTCTGCTCGCTCCTCCTAAAACATTGCCTCCTCTGCCACTCCTCTGCGTGTTGTCTGACATACTCTTTAATTAAACAATTCTGTGTCCCTGAGTAACAATTCTGTGTCCCCCTGAGTAACAATTCTGTGTCCCTGAGTAACAATTCTGTGTCCCTGAGTAACAATTCTGTGTCCCTCAGTAACAATTCTGTGTCCCTCAGTAACAATTCTGTGTCTGTCTGAGTAACCTGTGTCTGTCCCTAGTAACAATTCTGTGTCCCTGAGTAACAATTCTGTGTCCCTGAGTAACAATTCTGTGTCCCTCAGTAACAATTCTGTGTCCCTCAGTAACAAATTCTGTCCTGAGTCCCTCAGTAACAATTCTGTGTCCCTGAGTAACAATTCTGTGTCCCTCAGTAACAATTCTGTGTGTCCCTGAGTAACAATTC